TTAAGTCACTTGAGGCTCAACATGCACAATGGATTCATGCTCAGCTTCATGCTCGTCTGAGGTGGCAAGGGCAAACCTCCAAGTGTAGAAAAAAACATCCTGCACCTGGCATAGACACAAACACTGACCCCACCATGTGCACAACAATCACAACACCTGTGCTAACGAACAAGATTTGTCCAAACATCTCATAATAACTTATAACATCTCACCATCGGGCTATTCATCAACAGCCAATTCATCCCAGGTGGCTCTGCTAAATTATGTTCAGTGCCGTTCTTCGATGGACTCCACCAAAGACACCCGACTTCAAGCCGCAACCTTCATCTACCCTCCGCCACCGCGAATGTGGTTTTCTCCAGGTGACTCCAAAGTCATCTCCAAAGACATGAAAATGGGGGGAATGCAGCCTGGATCGGTCTCGGGATCGGTCGAAAGATGTTGGTCTGAGGGCATCATGCGAAGCATCATGCGGTGCACGGGATGAAATAGCACATCATGTGGACATGTGGCACATTAAATCTGAAAGGCTTATGTCGTCTTGCATGAAGATTTGAATGTAAACTTTGAGCTTTTCATGGCAGAAGTGGAAGGCCAATGTCAACAGCTGAACTGAACAGACTCTGGTTTTGTTTTTGCCAGGAAGTCTGTCAGGTCGCAGGTTCTCCAAGAGTGATCTTTGAAGTCTAAGATCCTGCTGGGCGTTTTGCCACCCGGGATAGCCTGGTGAACCTGGCCGGTTTTTTGGGGCAAGCCGTCTGGAGTATAAACCAGGGCTTCTGCAATTGTTGTAAGTTAAGTCAGTTCCAACGATTTAGAGTTGGGGATGGGATTAATTTCATGCCCCTCTTGTCCTTTGACACCTTCTGTCCAGAAGACACACCCGGAGGCGTCACCTATCGGGGCTTCGGTTGGACACCACGCTGGACAGCGCGGCAACGTGTCGCAGACGAGGGGCAGGAAACCGCCAAGGTGACATCCTTCTCCCAGGCGGACGCGCCGCAGTAGACCAGAAGCAGGACGGGCACCGTGGGGATAAAATAGAAAGAACCACTGGGCAAGTGCTCCTGGATGGCAAACATTACAACAAAATCATCCAAGAGAACAGCAGTACCAGCTGAAGGATGGATTCCAATCAAATAGGCTAAACCAAATATAGATTTGTTGGACCTTGACAGCCAAGTAGCATGACAATCGGAATGCATGAACTCATGCGATCCCCACTTCATGGGCCTCGGTTATTCTATAGTGAGAACTGCTTTGCTGCTATTCTAGTGGGGAACAGGAAAGGCCGATCTCATGTGGATTAAGGAACGGGAGGCAAACTCTTTTACCCAAACACTCCATGTATGGCATATTTGCCTACATTGACCCCTGAAACCACCCCAACTGATGGGCAAATATGGCAGTCTTAGGGAGTGTCTGGCTAAATCGCAAGTTTCATCCAATCTTCATGGCCTGGGGCCACTGGTGGATCTGGTGGGTCTAAGTCTAAGTCCTCTGACTTCAGCGATTGGGTTTGCGGCCGCCTCTGACCGCCCACGAACGTGTTCGCTCTTGCGATCCAAGAGCAATGGTCGGATCGGTTTCACATGCATGAGGCGGAAACATAGAAGCTCACCCCAACTGTCGCCCAGAAGAAGCACAAGCACATCTATGTTTGTCTTGAGATCCAGTGACAAGTCTTTGATCGAAAAGGAACGCATGTTACGGAAATCTCGGGAGACGTGCAGACTAGTCAGAATAGTCAGATAAACTATGCCAACGATGCTCAGTCGCATGACAGGGGGTTTGCTCAAGATATATAATTCTAGCCAAAACCACCCCCCGGACTTTGGCTCAAGCCCTCCATGGAGTCATACCGATTGTTTGCAAAAACTAGTTACTTTAAACTAACATATAATTACTAACATAATATACAATACGTACTGTAATATAAGTAATATAATATATTACCCTCTTTGATTTTGAGCCAAGACTCCTGGAGCAACGCCAGTTGACTCTACAAGGGGCCAAAAGCTTAGTGTGAGAAAAAGCGCTCGCGATTTCGCCCTCGCGATTTCGCCCTCGCGATTTCGCCCTGCTCTCCTTTCGCCCTGCTCGCATGTCCACGTATAGACTCCAGGTGATGGCATGACCCGACCGAATTGAGGTACGACGAGGAACCGGTGGTGTGACCACTCCACGATTGATGCCCTAAGCCTCGTACCGTTGCACCTTCGTTTCGGTTCGGGACTGGGATGGGTGCCAGGAGGGTCTAGTCATACCGAACCTGAGGTACGACGGTACGAGGTGTAGGGATGGTAGCTCACATCCGCTCGGATTCTCCTTGAAGTACTTCATCCAATGGGGTTTCACCTCCTGGCGAACTGAAGGGGGTCAACTAACCCCCAGTTCACGCTGCGCAGCGAAGAAATGGACCGAGGACCACCTCCAAGGGTCCAAGATGGTCCACCTCCAAGGACCGAATATATGGGCATTCCAACATATTCCAACTGGTTTCTGAGGGCTCACCTCTTTGGTACTGTAAGATTCTAGTTGAAGGAGTGTTTGTCTGAGTCAAGGAGACTGCAGTGGAGAAACCAATCTGAATGTCATCAGTAATCTTCACGGTCAACTTCGGACATCTCACTCTGCCACGAGTTGTGCACAAGTCGTCGTTTTTGTTTCAATTGCACATTAAATATCATTAAATTGAGAAGGATTTGGCAAACACATGCTCGTGGCCGGAGTGTGTCAATGTGTTCCCATGCTTCCCGTCTTGGCAAAATAAATGTGCCTCCTCTTTTCGAAGAAACGTCATGTTTATTGCGACATGCAAGAGAGAGAGCCGTTAAGAATCAAGAACGATCTATGTAATAAACCCTAGGGCTCCAGTCGGACCTTCGTTTCGAAGGTGGGACTGGGGGCCCGGGTGCCAGGAGGGTCCAGTCATACCTTTTAAGCAGGTACGAGCCTATAGCCCTAGGGAAACATCATATCCCTAGGGATCCAAGTACCTTCTCAGAAGGTACTTGGACCCTCCTGGCACCTACATAACAGTGTCTCCAATCACCGTACCGTACCTGAGAAGGTACGACTGGATCCCTAGGGTATATAACTGTGCAGAGTCTTTCGCTTTTCACGTGTTTCTTCACAAGAAGTGCTTCAACCGATTCCTGAGGCCAGCCCTGGGGAATTGAACACACGACCGTCACCACGACCACGGTCAGTCCGGTGGTGGGAAGGTGCCGTGTAGGGAAAAAGCAGGAAGAAGCTTCACGACTTGGGGCACGGGAAGAAGACAAAAAGAAAACAACATGTTGGAAACATGTAGAACTCTTCCTCATTTCATCTCATTTCTGCCGATTTCTGCCCCAACTGCTTCAGCTTCAGCATGCTGAAGCATCGAAGAGGCTCCCTGCCGAAGGCACACGGCCGCATCACGGGTTGAAAAAGGACTCTGCAGACTCAGAGCGCTCCTCCAGCATCTTCCGTTTTGCCCAAACCAGCCACAACCACCACACCTTGGCTAGCCGATGTGTGTTTTTCCATGTTCTTGTTGAACCGACAAATCTCCAAGTCTTTTTCTCAACAGATTCTTGGGCACCACAAAAACGAAGCTTTGCCCAACCGAAATGAAATACTACGTTACTAGTATATACATGATCTTCAAGGACTTCATCTCAAAAACGTATGACGTATTGCAACAATCCCTCGAAGCTCATTCACGCCCCCGATTCGGTGACTCAGCGTCGCTCGCTACCCCACCGTTCCAAACCTGATCCCAAGCTGAAAAACGGATGGAAGATGGTGGAAGAGGTTGCCCACTCGCCCACTCCCTGCACTTCCAGTCGCCCAGCTATTGATGGCTGCTGCCCAGCAAAAGAGCCTCCCGTGACGCCCTAGGACTGGGCTTGATGAGGGGTCCTCGTTGTCGCCTCGACATCGCCCGAAGCAAAACGGCCTTCAGCGACGACTCTCTACTTTTGGCTTCGCAAAGGGGGTGGAGGTTTGCCAGGTGTGTTCTTTGAAGCAATGAAACCTGAAACTGGAACAAACCAACTGTTCGTAATTTTTGAGAAGTGCAGGTCTGTTTCTGATTGATCTGGATTTCAGCCAGGTCCTCCATCACTTCCATGTTCCCCAAGGGCCCAAGCAAAGAAAGGACCATGATGGTTTCCGATGCCCATCTTTGGAGGACAGTGGTTCTTTATGACCTTGTTCACCCTCGATTTCCTCATCATTTTATCTGATCTTGAGGTTGTAATTTTCATTTAAAATAAAAGGGTTGCTCCCCAAATAATGATGGTCAAACATCAGGATCCTGGTATGAAATGGATCCTCAAAGCCAGCCTTCTGTGCATGGAAGGAGTGCATGTCTTATGGGAAAACGACTCCTGATGCCCCAGCCCTGGTGCGGCTGCTATATATACTTGCCTGAGGAAAGCCGTGTGCTCCAAACATGGGTGTCTACATTATGCTATACTCATTATGCTATATTTCGCTGACATCCAAGTTGTAAAGGCTTGAAACCTTCCATTGCGCGCTCAACGCCGGATCGCCGTTGGTGAAGCATCCCGACGCCACGCACTTCACGCGGCAGGTGAAGTCCCAAAGAAAGCCTCCTGACATCGACAAGCATGGCAGAACCCACCAGCATGGGCTGGCGGGTATGTGTTTGGACGCTGCAGTGGACAGGACAGGACTTTCAAGAAGTGCTCCATGGTTCTTGATGTACGTAAACTGAAAGAACTCCTTGAACAATCACTTGTGGCAGGAAGTGCTACGAAGTTTTTCTGACTCAGGATAGTGATTGGCAGTGAGGGCCAGCCAGTATAGACCCCCACAACGATAGGAATTATATTTGGAGTTGTTGCTGGAGTGGGGAAATCCTGCATGCTGTGGGATTATGTACTGGCAAATCTTGATATCCTTCAAACTGTTGACCACACACCTCGGCATTGCATATGCATTCTTTAGTGCAACTGCGCTTCAATGTAACCGCACAGCTATGGGCAAAAGGCCACTCAGGATTAACAACAATCTTGAAAACATGAAAAGAACAGCGTGGCACGGTAGCTTTTGCATCTTTTGCTATCTTTTGCTCACCCTGTCTAAGTTCGAAACAATACCTTTGTGTGTTCCCTTGCTTGCCCCTCCGCATGCTTTGCCTTTTGTATCATATGGTTTCAGATCCATCCTGAAAAGCATTGAAAAACAAACCGTCTCTACCAAGCGCCCCTGCCGGTGAAATCAGCCGAGATACCAAACATGATGAACTCAAAGAGGATATTGTGGAGCCAGAAGCCTCTTTCCTTGGCAAGGGAACACCAAATCCAGGTTGGTGGTCGGTGTCCGTTTTTTGCTTGGAACGCTGAAGCAACAAGTCCAGGTGGCCCCCCAAAACGTCCAAACATAGAAAACGCCACCTGCACCCCACTCAGAAGCCGTTGCACGCACACTCACACGATGTCCACCGAAAGAACCCCAGTTGTGCTCTAAACATCATGCAATGGTTGCGTAAAACAACATGAGATTCTCGGCTTGGCATCTCCTCATGCGCCCGACCCATATTCCATGATTTGCCCCTCAAACGAGGGGAATTGGATTGGGTCGAGCCTCTTGGAAAGCAGGTGGTGTTCTAAGGATTTCAAATGATTTCGGTGGCGGTGTGGCCGTCGGCCGTCAGACCACCTGCACCAGCCGAATCTGAACTGAGTTCGATCATGTTGACGGTTGGTTTCTTTCAGAACTCTCCGGTGATAGATCATGGCCCGAGCATCTTTGTCGTCCATGTAGTGCAAAATCTTCCTGAGGCTCTTGTCAGAAAACCTGTTGGCGCAAATTTTCCGGAGCTTCCCTCCCAGACCAAAACGCTCTGCATGTCCCAAACTACGAGTGTCTGCCATGCAAGCGTCCATCCAGCAAAAAAGCGTACCGTGCATGCAAAAAGCTTTTGATCAAGGCGTTTTTCTTTGACGGCAATGTCTTTACCACTGGTTTGGGTTGCATGAAACTTTGTTCAGTTGGCTTCAGCCCTCCAGGAAACCATTTGAAACCAGTTTCTTGGACGCCAGGAGAACCAGGAGAGCAACCGAAGAGTTATCCCCGCATCTCGTGCAAGCGTGCACACGAAACACATCCGAGAGATCCTGAGAGCACACGGGTGACACCACACATACAAGCTGGGGGGAAGCTTCAAGGCATGATATGTCCAATGTTTGCGTATCGAGCCCAGAATATAGAGCCCTATAGACCAGCAAACGCAGCCCTGTGCATCACAGCTGGCTGCGCGACACCACGCGTGATTGACACCACCAATCATGCTGCTCACCAGCAACACGCATCTTTCCCGTTCCTCACTGGCACGGAGCCACACAAACGCATCCACCGAGCAAACCGCATGGCACAGGAACACCCGGTCTGCCACATCCTCGACGCCACAATTGACCACCAAGTCCGAACATGTGCATCACAACGAGAGCGCTGCGGCGAAACAGCGCCACGGCCCAAAGACCCTTTTTACGAGCAAGCTATTTTGGGTAACAAAGAGCATCAAAGACCTAGACTTGTCCAAGGCCGAGAAACTCAATGCTTATCTCCTCGATGATGTCCCTCCACCTCCACGCAAATGTGATGCAGTACATCAACACAATCAGGAGGGCCACCGGGTGTACATTGCTGTGGCACAGCACCACAAAGGCAATGACCAAATGGTGGTTCTCCTCTCCCGGAGCAACCTTGGATCAACTTGCTCTACCAGGCGACCAAAACTCGACTCAGAAATGACTCAGGCTACCAAGACTCCTCTCATACCTTTCTAAGCTCGCTTGGGGCTGCACAAGCAGGGGTCCACACTGGTTCTGCATGTTGGAGAACCCACTTTTTTGTTGCTGGTGGGGAGGGGGGCACCTATTTTTCGCACCTGAAAAGGACCCCGATGTCCCGACCAACTGCCAAACAAAAGATGTTCCAACTACCTCAAATTCCAAATATATAGATTCATATTATAGTTCATATGATGTTCCCCTTCAGTTATGGTAGATGAATGAACCAAGACATGACACCCTTCTCATCTCATGATTCCTTCAAAACGCATCTCCTGGTCATTGCCCGTGCCTGAGCCCAGGCCGGGTGGGGGTTCCTAGCTCCCGCTCCCGGTGCGACGTGCTCCCAGAATTGGTTCCTGCAGTGAACACCTACAGGAAGCCCATCGTGTTTTCTGTATTTTCATAAGGTTTTCCCGCAGATGTTCCTTTAAACCAATTCTGGAAACTGTGCCCACACCTACACTGACCTACATCATCCTGGCTGCGTGTGTTTCAGCATATGAAAAGCCCAAAAGCCGATGGTCAGGGTCCCGCCGGCCCCGCCGGTGTCCAGAGAAGTGACGCGTGGCATTTGAACCAAAATACCAGCACCCTCCAGGAGGGTAGGTGAGTTGAGGCTTTGTTAGGCCCTAGGTCAAGACCTAGATGACCTGTCGGAGGGTCCTGGTAGAAGACAAGAAACGATTGTGCTGTGTCCGATTGCTTGCAAATATGACTCATCATTCCAGGACGCACAGTTGTTTGAAATCGCTGACTGCGGCCATATGCGGCCCCAGTGAAAAGCATTGAAAGGTGTTTGGTGGAATGTTTCCACGCCCTATACTTCACGTATTTTTTGAGATCTCGACTCAGGAGCCGAAGAGAAACAGCAGAAAAAACCCGAGTTCCTCAGCCTGTCAGCCTCCCACACCGAGAACGAAGGTTCCGCTTCACGCCCGACAACCACCGGGTTGTAAGGTTGGGGAGCCCCCTCGGGTCCCAGGTCCAAGCGCTGACGAGCTGCATGGGCCAGAATCTCGAAGCTTTGCATCACTCCCAAACAAAGGCAAATGCTCCCCAAGACACCCTCCCGTTTCGCCAGTGTGGTGAAGACCGTGCCCAGCAAGAGCAAGATCAAGATGGCAAAGTCCACCCTGCCACGTAGACTCTGAAGGGTGGAGAGTCGGAGACTCGCGAGAGTCGCGCCGCCATCGCCGCGCCCGGGTAACCCTGAACGAACCACGCGGGAGACGGGACCAAATGGTTCAACCCATGAGTCGGATCAAGGTGAGTCGAGTATGAGAGAAAGAAGGAGCCGTATTAAAAGGGGTCGTCATGCCGTGGTTGTTTTTAGAAGCTGAAGGAACAATGGATCAAACAGCTTGCGACCAAACATCACATTAATCGTTGCACAGTTAAATCATGTGCGATGAAGAAACCTCCTTCATGATCCAAAGGCAGTTGATCCAAGAACCCATGAGAATCATACGAGTATGACATGATTCATATCCATGAACACCATGGATATTTTCAAGTCAAACATCCTCACTGAAACAGCGCGGGTCACCGGTCCACTACGGTTGATCCCACTGGTGTGGGTCGTTGATGCTGAAGGAAGCTGCAACGAAAGCCACTTTGCAAGTGCAAGAATCCACTGAATCAAGGCTCTTGGTTCGTTGATTGGAAGTCCCGGCATCCTTAGGTTGATCCAGCTTGATCCCCGGGGTTGGTGACGATTAAGCGTGACGCTGCATCTAATCATAGGGCCTTAAAACGGACGTGCGCGGCATGATGTCATATATGGTCCCAAACACGGATGATATCAGAACTACTACTAGTTCTGCTCCCCAATCGGAGCGGGGGAGCTTGTGCCGTGGATCTCAATTCGGACGATCGGCCGGCTCTCCGCCTCAAGGGGCCCTCCAGCGCTTCCTTCCAGCCTTGATGCCGGAAGATGAGGTAGGACCTCCCGATGTTCGACCGGAGAAACAGGGTCGGCACGGGCCTGGCTGGGAGGAGAAACGTGTCAACGACGTTTTTACTTGTACGGCACGTCTGCATGCATCCGCTCGTCTAGGAAAACATATGGAACATTGCTGGAACATAAAGATAAACACACACGGCAACTCTGACAACAAACAGAAAGTAATTCTGAACATGGAAAATCATGGGAACCTGAACACCCCTGCTACACATAGTTGTTCACCTTTGCATTCACAGTTGAGGACGTAAGTGTATAAAGGGGAAGCTGGCATTGCATTGATGCATCTTTGCCCTACCAACTTACCAGGTAACTACCATCACCGGGACCTTTACCTGTGGATTGACCCAGAACCAACCTTTGCAGTTGAACCATGTTGAATCTCAGCATGTGCTAGTTCAGCAAGTTTGGGGACTAAAGCTAGTCTTCTAAGACTCAATTTTCCATTGGACATAAGGCACCGGTATCCGCACTCCCTGCTCCCGCTCAAGGCCCTAGGTCCAAAATCGTCAAAAAACAATTGCTCTGGCTCAAGTAACCACCCTACAGGACTCTCTACCAACTCTACCTCTCACGTGGTCTTGTTGAAGGCAGCCATCCCGGATCCGGATCCCGGTGCTCGCCAGGGTGCCAACCCAAGAACTGAGCAAGGACCCAGAGGACTCGCAGGGTGCGCCCAGTAGTGGGGCAAAGCCAAGGGCTGCTGAGAATCACCTGCACGGACCGGTCCTCCGGTCGCGGACCGACTCCCGTGTTCTGTGGCCGGTGTCGTTTTCGGTGTTCTGTGGCTGATCGCTGAACTCTCAGGTATCCACACAAACTTGACCGCACAATAGTGGCTTGTAGAAGAACTTCGGCCATTCTGATGATAATATTGAATCGAAATCCGTTACTTGAAGTGAAATTGACTTGGAACTAAGGTAGAATTGAATTAGGGTTATTTAACCTAGAGCTTGATTAGTAGAACAGTATTGACTTAGAATTGAATTGGGAATTACATTCAATTAGAATTGAACTACAGTAGAATTAATTTGCAAACTCAGTTTGAATTCAACTATATATAGAATTCAATTAGGCTCAACTTAGAATTGTTTCTTTGTCGCTTTTTGACAGACCAGCCAAAAAAATAACAAAAAGTTCAGACCCATGGAGAGGGACCCAGGAGAGGCTGGACAGGAGACATAAGTCTGAACTTTTTTTTTGGTTTGTCCTTTGGGTCTGATTTCTTTTTGTCCTTTGGGTCTGAACTTGTTGTTTTTTTGTTGTTGTTTTTTTGGTTTGTCTATTGTTTTCAGGAGCTATTTTGCATTTGCTAAATCACTACCCTCACAAAAACCTGCGTTTCTACAATCTACACCACTCCACCCCCCGCGGCTACCGCTTCTGGTCTGCAAAAAACAATATTATATATATATATATATAACCTATACAAAATGAAATCCTTTCTTGGAGGGGATCGCAACACAAAAAAACACCACAAGCCAGCCTTTCCTGCGCAGAACACGGGAGTGCCTCGCGCGTCCCGACTCACTCACTCACCAGTGCAGGTCTCCGAGCGGCGGGGTCCGTAATCTCCCACCACCAGTGCTTCACCGCCCAAGCCCATTCGCACAGCCGCTCACGGGCGGTCGGAGCTCCTGAGGTTGGATGCTGACGTTGGATGATACGTCCTAGCAAAGGTCCCAAAGAGGAACAAAAGCAACGGTTTTTCAGTTCAAACGTCTACCGTCTACCACATGAGCCTCGAAACCCCACCACAAAAAAGGACGTATATATATATATATACACACTGCATTATACTGCCTATATTTCTTCTATAGCGCCTTAGAGGTGAGAGGTGATTTGGGGTCTCCATTCACCACCCTCTGAGGGGCTCTGGTAGATTCAGATGTTTCGTGGAATCTCCCCGGGCCTAAGATGGCCCAAGTTGAACCAGGCTCTACCAGGCTTTGGTCAACCCGGTTGGTAGTGTAAAAAGATCCACCGGTTGAAAAGGACATGGAGAGCAGCCATCTACACTCCCTGGAGCTAACATGGTTACGTGGATGGCATGGCGCCGTAAGGAAGACCAGTTTCCACTACAAACAGGTGGTAAACTTCACTTCCGTGTCAGTTCCAGAGAGAATATGAGTTTGACTATTGAAACTGCTTGCACTGTTTTTTGTGTCCCCAAGTGAGTGGATGACGGGGACCCACTCACGGGGACTTCCGACAAGTTCGTGAAAGGCACCCCAACCAGTACTGTGACTCCTGGTGCATCCATACCAGTACTCCCTAGGGATCCAAGTACCTCCTCAGAAGGTACTTGGACCCTCAAAACCCACATAAGAGTGTCTCCAATCGCCGTACCCGAGAAGGTACTTGGATCCCTGGGGACTGTTACAAGTGGATCTTCGAAGATCTCTCTGAGGGGCTGCCCCAAAGTTCCAACTGGCCTTCCCCACGGATCTTCGATCGGGTGATGTGGCAAGCACGACGGCGTCAGGAACGGAGGGAGGATGAGGACAAAGGCTTCATATAACTGTCTTCCTTCAACAGTGGTGGATCCCTGGTAGTTCACCAACGCTTCTTCCAAGCCGAGACAGTGCTCCTGCTTCTGGATTGGTCAGAAGCCAGCTCCCCTCTTCAGCCATCTCCCATGGAGCCCATGCGCTTGCGCGCGGAAGTGTCCAAAGCAAAGTAGGTTTTGCGTGTCCCTAAATCATCACTGGTGGCTAACATTGCCTATCCGCCTATCCCACCTTGTCTCTAAGCTAACAAAGCAGGAAGTTGAGTGCGGAAAACCATGTTCTTCTATCCGGGTGGGTGCAAGAAAACGTCTCTCGTCGTTCGAGACGGTTCACCGTTCACCGCGTGACCCCGCGTGACCCCGTGGTAGCTGGTGGATGGTGCTCTGGCTCCTTTCCCTGCCCTTCTTGGCAACAATGACAACCAACAAGTCGGAGATCAGCGGTCAGTTCCAAAGGAGCTATGCATGTCCTGTCGCCGGCGGTGGTTGATCTTAAAACCAACCGGCCACCGCTGCATGAAGCTGGCAGGCCACACACAAAGAACAAGTCCGGGCCATGTATCTGGTGTCTTGATTTGTTTAAAACATGTTTTGAGACCTGCCGGATGTTTAAGCTTTACGTCATCCTGATTTAAACGCATATCATATCCATTCATATCCTAGATATAATAATACACCTGTTTGATCAACTCTGCTTGTGGCTGTCATGGAGTCTTCCTGCCGAGTGATGACCGTCGAAGGTTGCCAATTGACCTATAGCCTATACCGATATGGAGAACTCATCTGCAGGCTTTTTCACCTATCGTTTGGGAAGCCACGGGCTCATTTCTTGAGCCAAAAGCATCAACATGGCCAGTGCTTATTGTTATACTGGGCAGGTCATAGCAGGTCAGTGATTTCAGTGCAACACAAAAAGAATCGGAGCTAGTGCAACACACAGTTAGGACCGAACACCCGAGCACGGCAGCACAGCAAAGCCACCGTGTGCTTTTGTCATTTGAGCTGTAAATGATAATGCCGAAACTACGCCCAGTGCCGTGACAGCTGCCACCTTCGCTGTGGACGGAGGAGTATTGAGTATCCTGCCCTTCACTCGCTGCCCTTCGCATTTCTCAGGCCGGCTTTGAAAAATTCTCGCCCACGCTTTCAGCAGCCTGTCGGCTGCTCAGCTCCGTGCCTGGGGCATGTTCCACATCCCAGAGCTTGTTTTGGATTCGCCTCACCGAGGACATGGCTTCTAAGCTCCATGGTCCGGTGCCTGAAGGAGCGTCCTGGCTGCCGAAGTCTCCTTGCGGTACCTCCGGTCTTCCTTCTTCCACCGCTCGTACGTCCGCGGATCAGACGGTGGCTCCTGCGGTACGTCCCAGTCGTACCGCGGCTCTGCAGGGTCTACGACGACGACTCCCGGTGCTCCGGGCGATTGCATGGTGGGGTCCGCAGGGGACCGTGGGCGGCTTCAAGTCATCGCGGGGTATTTCCTGGGCGAAGGAGATTGAGAGGTGACAAGAATATGCCCTGGTCGACCTACAGTGAGTACCTCATTTTGCTGGAGTTGGTCAAAAAAAGACTCTACTCAAGGACTTTAAACACCAGGTTTTACTGGGTCAGACTGGACTTAGGGTTGATCTTGGACATGGTTGGATGCTGGGCTGAAGACAGATTGGACATCTGACCATCTGCACGATGTCCAACCTCGGGGGTTCCGTGGTGCTCCAGGGTCTTAATCCACCAAAGAACCAAGATGACATAGACATTGGACATCTACGCTCTATACATGATGTGAAGTTCCGGGGGTTCTGTTGTGGGGCCCCAGATTGTTCCAATGTCGGTTGTAGGGCCGCACAACCGGCACACAACCAACATGACATAGAGATGTTGTGACCGATCTCCTGGGTAAACACCCTCCCTCCCACAAAACCACCGTCCGACCTTCAGCCATAGTCATCCTCCAACTTGAAGCCCTCCAAATGCCCCCCCACTCAAACGACGACGAGGGGAAAAGCGGCGAGGTTCACTGACGACACGCCGACGCTCCCGGCCGAGCGGCTCGAAGCCTTCGTTCTCGGCTGCTGCCACCATGGCGGTGGAGGCCACGCTGCCGCCCGAGCTGCTGAGGCTCGAAACGCTGGAGGAGCTGCGCAGCGCCGAGGTCGCACGGCAGGTCTCCAGGGGTGGAAGCGCTGCCAAGGCGCTGGCCTCGGTCGAAGCTGAAAAATAAAGGCATGTTAACGGCAGTTTTGGAAGTGGAGACCTACCAAACTCTTTTAATTTTTAGTATATTTATTAGTAATTATTTGAGAATACAGTATCTAGTCCAAGGCCAAGGCCAACCAAACTATGCACCTCTTTGCCCACCCTTGCGAAACAATATCCACCAACAAAAATTTGACGGGGATCTCCTCATGTTCAAAAAGTCACTGAAATCCCAGGTCTTTTTGGGACGTTGTGCGTATCGTCTCGCCAAAGCTGAGCCAAGGCACCAACTCGTGGCTCGAGCCAAGCTGTGCGCTCCCCACTCCCCGCAGCCAGGCCTCCCACGCTCCCCCCGAGGGCATGCGCAGCGCCACCAGGCACGCGGCACCGCGCGTGGTGTGGATGGGCCGGTGCCGCAAGGCAGGCAAAGCGCAGGCGGAGGCTTGGAGATAGTGGCAGTGAGTGACCAAGAGACATCCTGCAGTTAGATGCAGATCTCTTCAAAAACAGAGGTGCAGTACCCACTGGGCCCGTTGTCCAGGTCCCGTGGAAGGCCCGTTGACGGCGCGTCACATGTCAGATCCCCTCTCTATAGAGACACAGCCTGCCAGCCTGCCTGCACTTTTCTTGACTTTGAAACTGTCCGAGGTCTGTGACCGCCAGCTAGGATCTAAAGAAAAGGTTACTTTAAGATACTACTTTAAGGAGAAAAAACACATCATGACTGTACGGAAATGAGCGGCTCTGAGCCCTATTGCAACACAGTAGCCTTTCGTGTACAGTGGTTACCACAGGAGTGTCTACACCCGGAGTCTGAATGAACATGGATGAGAATATAGATCCTGGTCGCCCTCTTAGGGGTCAGTCAACGACATACCGCAGTCGGATGGTGTCGGCAACTCGTTTTGATCCATCCCGAAGTTCTTGACCATTCGCATGGGCTTTCTGGTCGAACATTCCCATTTCCGCTTCATGATCTTCATGAAGATGCGCTCTAGCAGCGAACCCTAGCTGCCCTAGCTGTGATGATTCTTTCTGTGGTCAAGCCATGCACCTGGTGCCATTGACATATACGCTTCAACTATGGTTCAACCTTGCCACTGCAGCTCAGTGACCCTGCACACCTCCCTCAAGCGACTCCAACTGCTCGAGCTGGTGCCGGAATGCTGCTGCAAAGCGTCTTCGTGCCTGGAAAACATGCGGGTCAAGACCAGCCTTCCTGTAGCCTGTTGTGCTAAAAAATCCCCATCTGAGAGGTTCTACCATCTGAGTGGGATGGATCCCATGATGAATTCCAATCAACTGTCAACATTCTGAGGGAATCAGTCACTCCAAGTCTTGTGGATCCCAACACTGCCACCCATGGCTGCGGCCACTAGCAAAGGGAGCTCCTGAATGCACAAGATCCACACGTCATCGTTTCAGGTGTGATCTCGCCATTCTGCTCCCCAGCGGAAGTGATGCCGAAGAAGCGGAAGTTCCATGGAGCAACAAGGACATGTTGCATATTATGACTTAATTAAGGGTCTGCAAAAATCGGTTAAAGAGTTGAGCCTTGGAACTTTTACGGCTCCCAATCTAACAGGGCCTCCTCCGGAAGTCGTGCTGGTTTTTTTTTTTTTTTCTGAAAGCTCGATGCCCTATGCCCTTCCAGAACGAAGGAATTGATCAATCCTCTAGAAAATATTCATGACACATGAGTCCCCCAAACACAAACACTCGCATTTCACAGCCCGCCTCCGCTGAAACTCCACCGGCATCATCCAGCTCTCCGGGTAAAAGCTCCAGCTCCTCATCCGCTGCCACCGACATCGACGCAGCACCGTTGCTCCCTTGACTCCCGAAGTGCTCGGCGAGGACTTGGGCCGTCTCCCAGCAGGCGGTGGAAGGAGAGGAGACGATCCGGTCGAAGCTCAGGTCCTCACAGGGCTGGAGCGATGGCTGCCGGCAGCCCGCGGAATTCTGAAGTGGAAAGGCAAACGAGCAAGGCCCGTTGAGGGTTCGCTACTTGAGGCGATGAAGGTGGACGTAGAGGGTGCACCTTCTTGAGGATTTGGGAAGAAGGAATCAGTAGGAATGCTGATTCCATTGGGTCATGTGGGTCTTGTGACTTGTGTGTCTAGATGACAATGATGTAGTATGCCCAGTGCCCAAAGTGGCTTGCGTCACTTGAACTTAACACCAAAATTGCGCAACACTCCAGGTTGCTGTACGAGATAGCATGAGCCGAATTGAATTAGCCATAAGTCACACATTGCACACAAAAGGCGAGTCTAAGAGTCTATGCATGTTCGATTCATGCTAGTTCAATTTGATTTCATCTGTTTTTCAATATGTTGCATCTCAACCCCCTGCTGGGCGCTTTCTCCTCCCTCTCCAATGCTTCCGCCAGTTCAGCCGCCTGCCGTTGCCCCATGGCCGAAAGTGGCCCACCCGGCGAGTCCCACTCGCCATGGACAGCGACACACAGGCACCGACGACGTGGACGTGGCGCCAATTCCACCTGAATGCAGAACGGTGCAGAACGGTTTTTTTGCGGACCCCCCTTCTTTGAGATGAGGCCTTCTATGGAACGGGTGGCCTTTTGCGTTACGCGTTAAACACAGATAATCACAAACCATATTTTAGCCATGGGTGGCAAAGATCTGGAGAGAAGAACAGCACAAACCAATACAGCACTATAAGACTATACAATATTACATATATCCATGCATGTCAATTACAGTACTGGTCGCGAGACTTCGGCAAACAAAAACCCTTCATCGAGATGTTGACCCTCTGCTCATCTATTTGTAAATATGATACATAGTATAAATATATATATATATTTAAATACTATTCATCATATTCATATATATATATATTGTCTCTCTCTCTCTCTCTCTGGCGGACATGACTCATCTGTCACTGCCATCATGTGCATCTCAATCTTCATGGAGCAAAGACATCGGATTAGACCGACTGAGTGGCGTAATCCGATTGTACCTCTCCTTTT